GGAATATAGCCGATTTGGTCTAGGATGTAGATCCAATGAGAAGAATCTTCTTGGCCATTAAGGATAATTTGACTCCAAACCTTGCTGAGGCCTTGATACCTATATCCAATATCAGTGTTTGCCTAAACGGATTAAACGACCAGTAAATGGTAAATGGTGGTAAACTATTTTGTTCAGGGGGTAAACGGAAATTAAACGGTTGACCATTTAAACGGTCAAAAAACGGGGAAAAACGGCCTAAACGGAACGGAGATAAACAACATTAAACGGGCTAAACAGTTGTTTAAACGGCCATTTAGGTGAACACGAGGTAAATCTAGTTCAGTTTTGTATGGATAAATTTGTATACTTAAGTTTATTATATTCATAAATGTGTACACTTGATATGTTACATGCATAAATATCTATATTTGGTTCTTTTCACATGCATAAATATATATACATACCAAAATAATTGATTTTTACTTGGATAAATATGTATAAATGCTAGAATAGTTGATTTTTTACATGCACATATATAATTATATGTATTTTTTGAAAGTACAAAACCGTTTAGACCGTTTAACTTCGTTTAAACACCGTGTAAACAGCCTAAACGCTAAACGAAGGGCGACCGTGTAAAGACCGTTTACTGTTTAGGAAAACATTGTCCAATATCGAAGACCAGGCTCCCAATATGAAAAAGGCTCAAAGAAATCTGATTGACCATGAAGCTTTGATGGCCAAAAAGAATTCTCACAAATAGGAAGCCAAAGAATTAGCACAACTGATCGACAATTTGAAGAATTCTTCTTCCAAAATCGAACCAGAACTAAATTAGCTGAGAGTTAGGCGTGCTAAGCTTGAAAAAGAACTGGAAAGTGTGAAAGACACCATCGAATGTCATGTGTCCAACTAGACTCAGATCCCCAATGCTATCAAATAGAAGAAGCAAGAAATGCTAACCAAGGTCAAAGAAGGCAAAGCTATTCATAGCAGTCTTGAGAGCATTCCCAGATCAGTCGAAGAAGATAAACAATAAATTGCAGAAGTTGATGCTATTCGACTGAAAGTAGTATGAGCAATTAATGATGCTCTTAACTTGTAATTTACATTCCAGCACCTGTAGCACATAAACCTGATGATAATTGTACTTTTTGGTTCAGCTAGAAGAGCTGATTTGAATTAGTCGATTTTTGATTTCTAACTTTACTCTGACTTAACTGAATCTAAAAATGGCTTTTATCATAAAACCCTTCGAATTCCTTCTCAGTCATTAACGCCACGTTCCCCTTGGTATTAGTGAAGCGGTGCTTCCCCTTCCATCAATTGGGGTTGCTTTCACATGTCCCAAGATATGTACCGTGTCGCCTTCGTGGCTATGAATACCAGCCAAGGCCTTCGGCCTCAAACACATCTACATTTGCAACTGCTCTCATTCTCTTGTGCTCTTCCATCTCCACAGACCCTGTAGCAGTTTCCTCTTCTCCTCCCAAGATCTAACATCACCCATGCTAGGTGAGGACAAATGTGGTAAGCGCACGACAGAAGATCTCCTAGAGGAGGAGATGCCGGTGAGCCAGCAACTCCGCCGCATGAGGTAGGACCAAACGACTCCTGATCCTATCAATAGATCAACTTCTAACGTGTCTGCAGGTTTGTCTTGAACAACAGGCTTCCTCCTCCTCCTCCCGAGGCCAGCGAGCCCTCCAATGCTGCATCCGCCGCCATCCCCTTGCCAGATTCATCATCTAAATCCTCCAACTCCTACACTAGCGACGACGCCCGATGCTTCCTCCAAGAATGGATGGCAGCCAAGGACCGTTACTCCAAGGCAACTTGGGAGAACGGTCAGCTTGAGATTTGCCTCGAGGCCTCTCAAGCCGCCCTCCTCATCGCCGAGGAAGAAACCAATGCCGCCCGGGCACGGTTGGCTGAGTCCGACACCATGGTGGCAGGTAAGATGGATTGCAAGAAAAACTCTATTCTTTTTTCTCTACCTTTGTCTTGATAATTTCTTTGTTTCTGTGATTGTCAGCCCTGATGGTGCAGTTGGAGAACCTCCAACTGTCGACGAACGCGGCTACGGTGGCCGTCAATGCCCATGACCCCTTACTCATCAACCGCCTGCACGATGTCCTGGTGTGTGCCTAGGAGATCGTTGTCCATGGCGTCCGCCACGGCGGAGCATTGGCCCTGGTCACAGCGTAGGTCCAGACCGAGCACGAGGTCCACTTATTGGAGCTAGGCTTCCCGATGGCCGATGACCCTGACATGCATGAGGAGTTGATCGAGGACTTCGACGATGCGGCTGCAGCCATCGTGGACATTACATCTGCTCAAGATGTGATTAATAAAGTTTTTGATTAGTTTGTACTAGGAACAAACTATCAATGAATAAAATTTCTGCTTCTCTTGATGAATGCGTTTCTGAATCTGTTGAAATATAAATATGATTGTCTTTGTGTGTGTTTTTCCTCAATAGGCAATACATATCGTATCGGCTTTTCCCCTTAGGGCTGATTTTTGAATTAAAGGCGATACCCTCCTGGTATCGGCTACTAGAGCCGATGATCAGACAAATCGGCTATCAAGTATTAATCCAAACGCTAGGATAATACTTCTTTAGGAATTTTCCATTGATTGCTCTATCTAATTCCTCTTCCCCTTCTAGAGTTTCCAAAATACAACGTTTAATCCGATAAGGACCTTCCCAATTAGGCGACCATTTGCCAAACCTGTTGTCTTTAGATCCAATCAGCAATCTTACTTTCCAAACTAACTCTCCTTTGCAGAACTGTTTGTTCTTGAGCGTGCAGCTGATGACAACTTAAGTCCTCCAAATCGTCAATCATAAGGTTTTTATAGACTTTGATGGTCAAATCATTTTGCAATGTAACATGTCTTGATCCAGTCTGAATCTCCCAAGGAAGAACTACATTATGCCCATATACTAACTCATAAGGTGATGATTTAATCGATTCATGGCAAGCCATCCTATATGCCCACAATGCTTCATTAAGTGTCTAGTGCCAGTTCCTTGGTTGCTCTTCAATTTTCTTCTTAATCAACTTAATCAAAATTTGATTGGATGTCTCTGCCTGGCCATTAGCTTGAGCATAATAAGGAGAAGAATTTAGTAATTTAATTCCCATACTGGAAGCAAAATCTCTGAATTCCTCTAATGTGAACATTGTGCCTTGATCAGTAGTAAAGGTTTGAGGAATCCCAAAATGATAAACTATATGGTCCCTGACAAAATCAACCATATTCTTTGAAGTTACTGTTTTCAAAGGAATCGCCTCAACCCACTTAGGCCCTGTTTGTTTCAGCTTGTCTGAGTCTCACTTATAAGCTGAGCAGGCTTATCTGATAAGTCATGATCTAGAGAATCTGCTGTCTGAATAAGCTGGGCGTTTGGCTGTCCTAATTATTTCTGGTAGATTATCTATCATGGATGTAAATTGACCAATGTACCCCTGAGGCTGATGATACCTTTTTTGGTTCGTCATAATGATCTGAAGGAAATGGTGGGAATATTTTTAAAGTTTGAGATAGCAATATGGTTCCATTAAGTTGCAATGTACAGTAATAGTCCAAAATAACATCCATTTGGGTAATTTAATTGCTACAAAATACTCAAGTTTCTAACAATGAATCACCCAACCAATGCATTAGCAATAGCATCATGGAAAGTGCACATATTCATATCATCCGCCGAACCACCACCATCAGCTGAAGGAACTTGGGACCCAACACCACTACTGTCTTCCACAAAGGTTTCAAAATGTTCATCATATATGGCATTCTCTAATGAAATTATGAAGAGCCATGCAAGCAACGATAATCTTTGATTGCTTCTCAATTGGATAGCTAGGTAACTGCAAGAGAGTGCGTCACTTCATCTTGAGAACTCCAAATGACCGCTCAATCACATTTCGAAGGGATGCATGAGCATAGTTGAACACCTTCTTTCGTTCCCACTACATGCCGACCATGTTGCCATTTGGGCACATGATACCTTCGTCCCTTGTATGGTGCTAGATATCCTTTTCTATTAGGATACCCAGAATCAACAAGGTAATATTTGCCTTCAGGTGGATGTGGAAATTTATCCTTGTAGGTGACTAAAGTATCCAAAAATACCCGAGTGTCATGAGCAGATCCAGCCCAACCCGTGACAACAAATGTGAACCGCATATCGAACTCACAAACTGCCATGACATTTTGTGAAGCATAACCATGTCGTCCAATAGATTTTGCCTGTTCAATTTTTGGTATAGTTACAGGTATGTGTGTACCATCAACGACGCCTATGCAATCGTTGAAATGAGGCCAAAACCTAGCTTGATGCAGTTTTGGATGAACTGTACCAAAATGTGGATCCTTAGGTCTTATGATGTCAATAGACAGTCTACAAATTGAGTCAAGTACCTCACTAAACTTTCTACTCACAGTTTCTAATGAATGACCAAACCTATTTGTGACTTGTCTAAATGATTAAGGTGCACCACATGTCCACAAAAACATGCCTAAGGCTTCCTTGGTACAAATATCACTAGTTGATCTCAAGCCATAATTCTGAACCAAAGTCCGATGGAGGCGATGGAACACTGACCTTGTCATTCTAAACATGTTGTAGCACTGGACTCTATCATTTAGTTGGATTTCAACCCACTGTATCCCTATCATGACTGGTACATCCGAAACCACCTCCTTGTTCTTTGCAACACTGCTAGTTGAGCCCATCAATTCCAATGCAATATATGCAACCATGAAATCCTCTTCAGTACCCGATTCATCCTGACTTGCATCCTCATCACTGGAGATGCTCATATTGATTTTAGCACCTAAAATAGGTACACATTATGAAGCATGAGCAAAGGAACAGAGGAAGCATATACACGAAATAATTATCGCACAAGCAAAGTCATGACATAAATCATCAAATAATGTACCCATTACATAAATCATCAAATAATGTCTAGAACTGAACAATTTAATTTTACTACATAACAACACTAATTTTTCTGGTCCTCCCATGCCCGCCTCAGCCAATTAAGCCTCCCATTTGGTGTCTTCAAAGTAACGAACACATCACGGTTTTCCTTTTTCTTAAGCAATTGGGTGGCATAATAGTGTTCATCACTCCCTTCTTCAGCACCATCGTTAATGACTTGCTCCAACATAGCCCCAATCTCATCTCTAACATGATCAACCACATGAGAAGTTGCTGAATTTTTACTACTTTGGGCCTTCTTCTCATATGTGTCGACCAACCTCTTCATAAGTTGATCTCTATATGTCTTCTTTTTCTTTCCAGAGGGGGAACCTTGAGCTGGCCTTTTGTTAGCATTTGGTGTGACATGTGGTGAACGTCTCCCTTTGACTCTCTCACTGTCACCATCACCATGACCGGCCTCATGCTCCTCACCCTCTCCATCATTAGGACCACTTCTAGGAACATAGGATGTCTCATTAGTCACACTAATAGCATCAAACATTATCCGCATCATGTCCTCATGCTCAAGAACTGCAGATTTGAAACTTATACATCCTGGCATAGCCTAAAACATTAAATGATAACAATTAGAGGATGACATGTTAATGAGCACTAATATACAAAAGATGACATCTCAACTACTCACCGCATTTTGTTTTGTCCACCATTCATCACTGGCAGAAATACATCCGGTCATAGGATCCCTTCCCAACCCAGTGGCTCTCATGTTCAAGGTCTTCCACTGTGCATATTTCTTCTTCAGTAGATCCCATCTGTTCTTCATTTGCTCTTTGTCATATGGCCTCTTTGTTCACTCAAAGAACTTCTTCACCAAATTAGCATAACCCACACTATTCAAGCAATTGTGTGGCCTGTTATGGGCAAGCACTTCTTCTACACATATTTCATTGAAAACTTTGGCGACAAAAGTATCCCATTTTGCTTGAGGTTTTGCTGCTTTTTCCATCTATAAAGTGTGACAAATCTGAATTTGTAGCAACACTACTGCCTAATTACACTATGAGGAAGAAAAAAATGACATGCTCTGCAACTACCAGAAGAGCTTGCGTGCTCACCTTGCTGGACGGCAGCCGGCGGTGGGGATGGGAGGACAGCAGGCGGTGGAACTGGGATGTCTATGTACATGAAAGAGAAAAAACAGCAGTGTCAATCCTCCTATATTGTCAATAAACCCTGGTAATTTTAAAACCCAGTAGTACTACAACATTATGTGAAGACAGCACAAATTGATTCATCATTCTAGCCAACCAACTGTGTTAGGAGCCTAGGACAGCTGCCATAGAATGTAGCAGAAAATTAAACAATAGCATGGTAGGTCAGACAGAATGTATGCCTCAAGAGTTAAGTTCATAAGGAAACTTTAGATTTCAAAGGCTTTTTATGGCAGCCATCGCATGCACCTATTTGATCCACTCCAACCACATTACCAAATAGGTGAAAATCCAGCATTACATCCTGAAGCTGCCTAGAAACAAACCGGCAGAAAAAAGCTTGTATTGATAAGATCTAACATAGACAAGTCAAGAATGGCTCCTGAGCCTAAACTTAAATGGCAATAACTAATCAATGCTCGTGCCCGCAAGGTAATGAGGTATCAATGACAGCGACAATCGATTGACTAGAACTTATGCTCTATCTACCAACTATAAAGGGAGCAACCAATGAACTAATGCCTGATAACTTCACCTTGTCATCTCCTATATCCATGAAAACGTCACTAGAAGGAACCCAAACTAAAACCAGAAAATCCATAGGCGAACTCTGCAATAGCTCTCCATTCCGTCTGTTTCGTTCGCACCACCGGAACCAAAGCAGCAACCTACAGACTAGATCCACGACAACTTTGCTCATGGCTTCCAACACTCTCGTCGCCTCGGTAGGGGAACCAACCAAAACCTAGACCCCAAATGAACCTAACAAGCAGCCAAATCTAGTGAAGCAGCCCCACAAATACATCCAGCAACTAGAACCATAGCGATAGATCAGGAGCGCAAGCGATGAGTACCTTGTCGGTGGGTTCCACTTTGATCTAGAAGCTAGATCCCTTGAGCGTCTTCATGGAAAATGTCCCACCTGTGAAAATCAATTGCAGGAGCACCTAATCACCTTGCTGTACCAGCGAAGGGGGAGGGGAGGGCCGCCCGCGCCCTGGCTGGAGATCCAAAGGAGGGGAGGGGACGGCCGCCGGCGCACTGGTTGGAGCACCGGCGGAGGGGGAGGGGAGGCCCGGCATTGGGGAATAGGAGGCGGTGGCGGATCTAGCAAGAGGAGGGAGGGCCGAGCTAGAGGGGAATGGGAGGCGGCGGCGAAGAGGCAGGCAGCGCCGGGGAGGGAGCGAGCATGGGACCGCTCAGGTCTTGAGGGAGGGGCAGGGAGAGGAAAAGCCTTTGTGATTTTAGAAAAGTGGGGCCTTGCTCGCGATTTCAGATATGTTGCGGGCGATCGGAGATCGCGGAAGCGCGTTCGCTTTTGGCCCTGATCGCAGGGCATTTGTGCGGGATTATTTGCTTATTGGGCTCAGAAGCTAAGCAAATGCTATCCCTAATAGGCCCTTAGTAAAATAATCTATTACTACCAATACAAACTTGTGCCCTCTACTTGAAGGTGGAAAAATCTGGCCAATCAAATCAATTCCCTAGCCTCGAAATGGCCATGGCTTAATTATTGGGTTCATAGCTGATGCAGGCGATTTCTAAACATTACCAAAATGCTGATAATCCTAACACCCCTTGTAATATTCAAAACAACCTTCTAATATTGTTGGCCAGAAATATCTAGACCTACGAATAACCCATTTCATTTTATAAGCCGATTGATGAGCTCCGCATCTTCCTTCATGTACTTCCCCCATCAATACTCTTGCTTATTCTTGACTTAAACATTTAAGCAAAACCCCATCAACTATTTTGTAATACAACTGATTATCTAACAAAACACATTTAGTCGATTTATATCTCAATTTTCTGGTAACCTTCTGTGATGGATTCTTGAGGTAATCGGCTATTTCAACTCTCCAATCATTAGCCAAGGTCTCACTACTTAAGATTTCTTAGAACACTCGATAGCCTGATGCACTCTGAGCTAACCGATTGGCCTCTTGATTCTGTTCTCTTGGAATATGCTGAAGAGAAGTAAGAGGAAACCCCTCAAGTAACTTTTGACATTCATCATGGTAACATCTCAGAGTATCATCTTTACATTCATATAGACCGATCAACTGATTAATAACCAGCTGTGAATCTCCAAATATTTCAATTGACTCAGCCTTTACTTCCTGAAGAAGTTGAAGTCCCTTAAGAATAGCTTCATATTCTGCTTGATTATTGGTGGTCGCTGGTTTGTTTTGAAAGGCAAACTCAAAACTTGCCCCCCGAAGTGAAATAATAACAATACTAATGCCACCCTCTTGCTTGCACGATGATCCATCAAAGAATAATGTCCAAGGCATAGGCTCCACATAGCCGATGCTTGGTTTATGATGTTGAGTAATAAAATCGGCCATCACTTGCCCTTTGACTGCTTTAGTCGATTCATACCTCAAATCAAATTCTGATAATGCAAGAATCCACTTTCCCATTCTCCCATTTAATATCGACATTGACAACATGTGTTTGATCACATCAACTTTGGACACAACTATACACTCCGCCGATAATAAATATTGTCGTAATTTAGTGCAGGAAAAATACAAGCATAAGCATAACTTTTCAATAGGAGAATATCTTGTTTCTAGATCCTAAAGTCTTCTACTTAAATAGAAAACAACCTGTTTCTTTCCTTCAAACTCTTGCATCAAGCCCAATCCAATCGTTTGGCTATCGGCCAACACGTACAACTTAAAAGGCTTACCTTGCTGAGGAGAAACCAGCACAGGTGGAGATTTCATATACTCTTTTATCTCCTCAAATGCTTTTTGTTGTACGTCACCCCATTTAAATTCTTGATCATTTTTCAACTTCAACAAAGAAGAAAACGGCAGAATCCTTTCTGACATATTTGAAATAAACCTTCTGTTGAAATTAATCTTACCAAGCAGAGATTGTAATTCTATTTTATTAGTTGGAGGTACTGCTTCATCAATTGCTTTCATACTTTTCTGACCAATCTCAATTCCTCTCTCGTGGAACATAAAACCCAAAAATTGTCTAGCTGACACTCCAAAGGCACACTTATTAGGATTCATCTTTAAACCATATTTTCTTGTGCACTCCAAGGTCTCCCATAGATCAGCCAGATGTTCTTTGTACCCTTCGGATTTCACCACCACATCATCAACATAGATTTCAACAATCTAGCTGATCAACTTATGGAAAATATAATTCATTGCCCTCTGATAAGTTGCACCAGCATTCTTCAATCCAAAAGTCATCACAACCCATTCAAATAAGATGATTGCATTGGGGCACCTAAAGGTTGTTTTTGTTATGTCCTCTTCAGCCATAAAAAATTGATTATAACCTGCATTACCATCCACAAAACTAATTACCTTGTGCCCGGCTGCTGCATCTACCAACATATCGGCTATTGGCTTCGGATAACCATCCATCGATGTAGCCCTGTTCAAATCTTTGAAATCAATACAGACTCTCAACTTCCTATTTTTCTTATACACATGAATTAAACTCGATATCCACTCTACATATCGGCAAGGTCGGATAAATTTTTCTTCTAGTAGTCTTTCAGTTTCCTTCTTAATGTCATCAAGAACATTTGGATTAAATCTCCTTGGAGCTTGTTTAAATGGCCGATATCCAGGTTTGATTGGCAACTGATGTTCAACAATTGATCGATCTAAGCCAGGCATTTCATAATATTCCTAAGCAAAACAATCTTTAAATTCCTTTAACAAATCTATCAATTCTTGCTTATACTCAGTATCCAACTTAGCACTTACATACGTTGGTCTAGGCCTATCTCTAGGACCAATATCTATTTCTTCTAACTCATCGCCCAACATAAAGCCATGTCCTAGTTTACCATCTATACCATCTATTGGATTATCCACTAAAACAAACTTTTAGAGCCGACTGCTTCGGATCAGCTGTTGGCCTTCATCATTGATCCTAATGAAGCCTCCTTCCCATTGCTTGCCAGAAAAACACTCAAAATCTTCTAGTACCCAATACATTGGATCAACTGTTGCTATATTCACAGAATCATCAGCATGAACTAGCTCAACATTGTCTCCATGCCACTAAATCAAGCATTGATGTATAGTTGATGGTACACAACAATTGGCATGAATCCAATCATGACCAAGGAGTAAACTGTATTGTAGTAGAATTGACCAATTTATAAGAGCACAAGTACAATGGCAGCCCGCAAGCGGTCACACTGTCATACTTGAGACCATATAAACCCAGTAGTCATTCGAGTACCGCGAAGGGTCTCGATTCAACCAACATACAACCAATATCATACATGATTCAACATACATGTCACATATTACATAAGGTTCACAAATATAGTTCATCCATCAGAGTATGAATTAAAGTTATTACAAACCATTTTCAGGTAAGATAGTAGCGGAAGCAAATTTAAAAGTTTGAAACTAACATCTACAACATTGTTTAAATATAGTGCCAATTCACGATCACACTTCCACAAAAGCATAAGAGAGGGATTAATAAGAGATGCCTACCCAGGGCTTACTCCTCATCCATGGTGGGACAGAAGCAGCTCTTGCAATAGCCATAATAAACTGTACCATCTACAACAATGGGAATGAAACCCTTAGTACGAGATGGTACTTAGCTAGACTTC